CCTCCATTCATTTTCCTCATCCAATTCTACACTATTATATTTTTATTTTATAAATTATTCATGAAATTACAAAATGTCGAGCTCTCGTGTTAGTCGTGGCTCGGACTCTGGACAAAAGCATAAAAATAGCGGCGCATCTTCTATGAGACCTCCATTGCCGACAATGGTGAGGCCAACGATAAATGTGAATTTTCTCGGTGTACTCAATGATATTGATTACGCGACGATCGAGCCCATATTTGAGTCCATTGAAGAGATTTAAGAGGCCATACACGAGGAGTATGAGCAAGAGCAGCAGCAGTATGACGACGATTTGGATGATATATTAGAGGTCAAGGGACTCTGAAGCCTCAGCAGCAGACACAGGCGCACCCGTCCTTCGGCCGTGGCAGTCAATCGAAAATGTTGAGATCCGACATATTCGAACGACATTACACGAAGGTGCCCAATCATGAAAAAGGTGAGAATCACTTTTTGGCTGTTTGCAACTACTGTCCGGCCAACTCCAAGAAAAATTACGCTTTCAAAAGAGGCGATGGGTACAAACCGTTGTACCGACACATAAAGAATTATCATCCGACAAAATTGGGGATTGACACGGCACAGACGCAATTCCCAAGTAGCAATGTTTGTCCCATTTTTGTTTCATTTTTCGTTGTTATTTTGCATTTATTTTTATTCCGTTTTAGGTCGTTTCTTCGGTTTTTTTGTTGTTTTTGTAGTTTATTTACGTGTTTTCCTTCATTTTGATGATTGGCCTTTTCTTTGGTTTTTAGTTGTTTTGGCACTTTCTAGCCTTGCCAAACCTCAAAGGGTTTGATTAGCTGTATTAATGGCACCGAACCTCGGCAAGATTCGATTAAAGAAAGGGCCTACCGAATTGAAAAAATCAGGAAAGGAAAGGACTTTTCAGCCTTACCAAGTTGAAGAACTTGGTGAAAACAAAGGCTTCAGTCCACCGAATTGAAGAACTCGATAAATGTACAGGCCCACCGAATTGAAGAACTCGGTAAACGAACGAGTTGTCGGCCTTACCAAGCTGAAGAACTTGGTGAAAGTAATGGCTTTAACCCTGCCGAACTGATGGAACGGGCATCAGCCTTACCAAGCTGAAGAACTTGGTGTAAATAAAGGCTTCACCCTGCCGAATCGAAGAACTCGGCTTGAGAGCTGTAGAAAGTACGTCATCTCAGGAATCCTTTTTTCCATTAACATGAGAATACAAAGTTGTATTTATATCATTGGAAGTATTTCTTGAGATAAATAGCATTCCACGGGTATTGATGAGGGGTACCATTTCGATGTTCAAGTCGGTAAGCGCCATGTGGTAGCACTTGATTTATCCTGAATGATCCTTCCCACTGCGGTTTGAGTAGCCCTGGGTTAGCTCTAGTGATTCTTTTGAGGATTACTTCGCTAACTCGGAATGTTCGAGGCTTCATTTTAGCATTGATGTACCTCTCACTTCTTTGTTTGTAGGCCGTGTTTTTTAGTTCAGCCATTGAGCGCAGCTCGTCTACGAGGTTGAGATTTGCTTTCAAGTTTTCCGAGTTGGATTCTTTATGGAAGTTTTTGACTCGGTATGTTGGAGATCCGAGTTCGACAGGGACCATGGCTTTCGACCCATAAGTTAAAAAAAGGGTGTTTCTCCCGTTGATGTTCGGGTTGTTGTACGATATGCCCATAGGACGTGAGGTAACTCTTCGGGCTAGGCCCCTTTTGCTGCGTCAAGGCAGGTTTTGAGGCCATTTCTTATGATTTTGTTCACAGCTTCGACTTGACCATTGGATTGTGGATGATATAGCGAGGAAAAGAAGTGTTTGGTCTTGTATTCTTCGCAAAAAACTTCGAGTCTTCTTTCTTCGAATTGTCGGTCGTTGACGGTTATGATGGAATTTGGTACTCCAAATCGGCAGACAATAGATTTCAATATAAAGTCGATCACCTTTTGTTCGGTAATCGTTGCTAGAGGTTTTGCTTCTGCCCATTTTGTGAAGTAATCCACGGCAACAATGGCGAACTTGACTTCTGCAGTTGGGAGAGGACCAATTAGATCAATCCCCCATCTTGCAAATGGCCACGGACTATAGATGGACTTAAGTGATTCGGGCGACTGGCTTATGTAGGGCGCAAATATTTGACATTTTGCGTATCTTCGTGCCCAGTTTGCAGCGTCCGACTTCTAAGTCGGCCAATAGTATTCTTGGAGAAAAATTTTGTATGCCAAGTCTCGTTCTCCATGATGGCTTCTGCATATTCCTTCATGAATTTCCTCGAGCACGTACTTAGATTCTTGCTCAGTTTAACATTCGAGTAGAGGAGTTGAATATCCTTTCTTGTACAGAGTTTTGTTGTCCAGAGTGAACCGAGCTACTCCGGTATGGAGAGACCGAGCTTCTTTAGGGTTATTCGGCAAGGCCCCAGTTTCTAGATAAGCAATGATTGGGTCCATCCAAGTCGGGTCTTTCTTTGACGGGTTCAACTGGGCGTTCATGACTTCATCGATCAAAGGCTTGTTGACCAAGGCTTGTTTAATGTTGACCAAGGCTTCAACTAGGTAAGTGCTTCTTTAATGTTGACCAAGGCTTGTTGGCATTCCTCGGTCCATTCAAAATGTTTTCCTTTCTTTATGGCTTCAAAGAAAGGTTTGCAGCGATCGGTTGATTTTGACATGAATCTGTTCAAAGCAGCAAGTCGACCAGTGAGAGTTTGAACACCCTTGACCGACGTCAGCGATGTTAAATCAATAATGGCTTTTATTTTCACGGGGTTGGCTTCAATTCCTCTTTGAGAAATAATATACCCCAAAACTTGCCTGAGTCGACTTCAAATGTACACTTTTTTGGATTCAACACTATTAAATAATCCGATTGGCATCATAGTGTAAAATTATAGACCTCGAGCCGAATAGAAAGAAGTGTGTTTGGCTTCTTTTAGATCCATTGGGATTTGATTGTAACCTGAATAGGCGTTCATGAAGCTCATAAGTTCGTGTCCCTAGGTGGCATCTGCCATGTAATCAATGTAAGGCAGTGGTAACTATCTTTCGGACATGCTTTATTCAAGTCGGAGAAATCAATGCAGAGGCGCCACATGCCATTGCTCTTTTTAACCAATACAGGATCGGATACCCAAGTCGTGTACTTGGTCTCTTGAATACATTTGTTGTCAATGAGTTTCTTCACTTCTTCTTCCAAAGCTTTTTGATGATCTGGACCGAGCTTTCATCATTTTTGTACAACCGGTTTAACTGTGCTATCCAAGTTAAGTCGGTGACTAGCCACTTTTGGGTCAATGTTATTCATGTCTTCATGTTACCAGACAAATAAATCAGGGTTTGCCTGGAGAAATTGAATAAGCTAAGTTCTGGTTGGTTCATGAAGATTGACACCTATTCGAAACAATTTGTGGCAAATCGGTTCATCGACGAAAATTGTATTGACTTCCTCAGATAGCTCTGCTCGGTCACTTCTACTTTTCTCCTTGAATTGTGTTCGAGGATCTAAATCATCCTCCTCTTTCATCGCTTCTTTTTCAGGTCGCCTTCCGCGATCCCGGGTTAAATCGTCTTGCAAAGTTTGTTTCGAGTTCAATGTAATCTCGGAGTCTCAAGTGTTGACCTCGGTCATATCATGTTCCGAGATGATATACGATTGTTCCAATTCTTGGGGAATTTCTTTCAAACTTTCACTTGCATTTTCGGTGGCGATTTCCGCCATTCGAATCTCTTGAGAAGGTACAGTTAATACGAGCTCTCTTGCATCGTGTTGATCACCACAGTGTGTACCTTCTCCATTTGCTGTGGGGAATTTGAGTGCGTAATGGAAAATTGAAACTACAGCGCGAAACTTGTACAATGTGTTTCTTCCCACAATGGCATTGTACTCGTTCTTCATGTCCATAACCTTAAAAGTTTGCATAATAACTTTAGAGGCTTGTCTAGGAATTCCAAATCGGATGGGCATAGTTATTTCACCAATAGGACACGTGACACGGCCGTTGAATCCTTGGATCCGATCCTTACACGGTTTGATATCGGCGGGGTCAATACCCATTTTGTCGAACGCTCTCAGCATCAAAATGCTAGAATAGGCCACCGTATCCACCATAATGCGGTAGATAGGTAATCTGCAGATCAGGGCGGTGATGACGAGGGCATCAGAGTGAGGATGTGCAAAAAGGCTAGCATCGTCGACACTAAATGTGATGGGACAATTATTTTGAGCGTTGGTGGTGTCCCTGAGGTCGGCTGTTAAGACGTTTTTACCCGAGTTATACGCCTTCCATGCATAGGCTTTAGCTTGCCGGCATGAGCAGGTCGGTCTTCCGTCGTTTGTATTTACATGAGGAATATAATTGTGGTAGGAAGAACTCGGGGAATAACTTCTTCTAGTCCTCTTGGTATCTGCTCCAGTTGACGGCCCATTCGTGTCCGAGGTGAATTTAAAAACTTCCTTGTCCCCTTGCCTGGTCCTTTTCAGGTTTATAGGTCTGTCGTCGTCTTCTTCGTCGTCAGGAAAATCTTGAGGTCTCCCTTTGCGTTTAAAATCAGAACTTTTAGCGAATCTTTGGACTTGGGAATGTCCGATTAACCTTAATAATGTTTACAAAATACTTAAGCACTCGTCAGTATTATGTCCGGCCGATTTGTGATAGGCGCAGTACTTGGATTTGTCAAGTCGGTCTTCGGGGATTCTCATTGGTCGCGGTTCGGGAATGATTCCTTTCCCTTTCAACTCCTCGAAG